AAAAAAAATAATCTGTCTTCAAAAATTATTTCCTCTTCCACCCAGCAAAGCAGGGATAAGAATTAACTTTCCCCACTTCCTGCAGATGAAACTAAAAGCTCTGTAATCCAAAACTGTCTCTAATAATTTAAACAGCCCCTAAGATTCTGCAACAAACTCCTGATTCTTCACTTCCAGCTCTGAAGTTGCCCCACCTCCACAGTGGTGCTACAGCTCTAACATAAAACCATTTGTTGAAAATGCAAACAATATAAAATGAAGTGTCACAAAAAATCCTTGTTATTTAAAAGAAAATAATAGAAATGCAATTTACCTTGTCCCCCACTGTCTCCTTTTGCAGCGGTGATTTTGCTTAGGAGACTGTGTAAAAAGTCATTCTCTGCCACTACCCTGAAAGGAGAAACAACAAAGTCTGTTAGGAATTAAGTGCTAAATAGATAATTTCAGAACATAAATGACAAACAGCCTCGGTCTTCTTTGCTGGGCTTGACCCTATTGTGATATGTTCTGTAATTTCATTAGCTCTCCCTCAAGTTCCAGCCCACTCCCACTCAGTTCTGTGAAGATGAAGTGAAAGAGATTCAATCCACAGCTAAGAACGGCATTTTGGGACAGAGTGACCACGTGAACACACCAACCTGTCCCTCCAGCCCACTCCACTCTCCCTGATAAACAACTAGATACATGAACTTGGAATTTTTATCAGCTACTTTTGAGTTTAGAAAGAAATTCTTGCACAACAAACATGGTGGATCAATTGACACAAGAGAAATAATAAACCAATGTGTCATAGCTGGGGCTTTCAGAATTAAATTTATCCTCCCCAGTACACAGCAGCAGGGCTATGTGGGATGCACAAAGATCTTCCCAGTAAATACTGGCATCTCTGCATTTGATCTGTGAGCATCCCATTTTCAGGCAGTGGGTCTGGCATTTCTTTTGAAGATCATGTGTGATAATTCTACTACCTTTTTAAAGGAAACTCATTTTTTTCTCAGATTTTTTTCTCAAATTCAACCACAGAACCAAGCTTATAAATTAGTAGCTTGTTAAGTTTACTGTGGGCTATGTGTAACTATTTGGCTTGGGTTTGTGAAATGGGACGTGTTACCAGCTGTCTGAAGGAGCACATTCAGAGAATGATGCATTTATTTAACACGCTGTGGAATCCCTGACAAGTCCTAAATGCCTTTTCAAGTCATACTTAAATAATGAACATTATTACAGCATAAAATTATTAAAAGGCAAACTTATTCTTCAGCCATTTCAGATTGCTACAGGCGAGGAGACAGATAAATATTCTTGTGCTTATCAAAGAGAGATCCAGGGCTGTCTTACGGGTGAAAGGGAATGAAGTGCTGCTTCTCTTCATCACTTTCAGCTTTCCCTTTTATGATATCTGTAATATCCATGACTGGAGGAAGGAAAGGAAACCCATTAAAATATATAATAGCATTGCAAAATAGTTCTTTTTTTATCCATGAATGATGTTCTTGCGCCTCAAGAGAAATGTGGATTTTTCGCTGTCGAGCGGCACAGCCCAGCAGGGGCAGGTTTGTGGGGCAGAGGATTTAGTGCAAAGTCCACACTACAAACCTCGAGCAAAGGGAGAATTCAGGCTAGTTTTGGTCTAATCCTGGGAATACAGGTATGAGTGCATTGGTGATGCTTTTGGGACATAATCATTGGCTTGATTTTATTTGCAAGGAATTCTCTCATTAAACTCTGGAGCTGCATTTTCATTTGCACTTAGCAGGAAGTTACATGACCAGGAAATTAATGATAATATAATTATTAACCATTAATTGTGTTCTTGTATAATTAATTATATACCTAATAATTGTATTATCATATAATTAATAAGAAAATTAATCAATAGTAATAGTGACATTAAATTCAAAAGCACAGTTCTGACTTGAACTCAAATGTAGATACAATACAGAAGATAGCTGATAGAGCTGGTTTGTGTTCTGAGGTGTCTTGGTAGAGATTCTACAGTCCAGGGCTGGCAAATATCCCTTGGGTCCTGCTTCAGCTGCAGGACAGGGGACATCAGGTACCTGCCACCCCAAAAGGCCTCCGCAGTCCTTGGGTGTATTTCTTGGAATTACTGTCCCTCAGATCCATCTTCCCAACTCGGACTATTTGACAAACTAAATAAATTTTGTCTCTGCTAAGGTCTTTATTTCCAAGATCCTAAGATAGAAACAGAAAAGAAACGAAGAATTACTTGGGGAAAAATCAAGTTGTGACATTTAAACAGGACCTCCAGTAACAAACTGAGTCTTAGCAATCAACAGGGAAAAAAATAACCTAACCAAACCAAACCAAACCAAAGAAAACCACCTCCAACAAACAAAACACCTTGAGCACAAAAAAAGGATGAAAACACAGTTTAAAGTTTGAAGAAAGTCTAAGGTAAGGTAAAGAGAGAAAATTGTAGCAACCAAGAGACACAGCAGATAAGAATACCAAGTCATCAGTAAATTTAAGAGGCAACAAATTCTTTTGAAGAAAAGCCACTGAAGCACTGGCACATTAAAGCACTCAGTGTCTTGCTCTGTTCCTTGCTCATTTTCCAGGAGTTCTGGCAGTGACCACAGAGAAGAGACAACTGGATTTATCAGGATGAAGTAAACTGGAAAACACTTACTGTGAACACCACTTTGAGATTGTTGAGCATATCAATTTCCTTTGGAAAGCCTCGACTCCCCCATCTCACCAAGTAATTCTCACTGTTTTGAAGATAAATATCTCTTGGTCATGTGATTTAAAAATTCCTCCCTTACACAGTACAGAACAAAAGCTGCATAACAGACACTCTGTGGTGATGGTTTAAATCTAATACCAGACTAAAAAGACAAGAAAAACACTGTACAAAAATCATCAGTAAGCTTGGAAAAAATAACTTGAATGAAACACAAATTAGCACCTTTTTTTGAGGAAAGATCACCATCATCATAGTCTGTTTGATGGGAATACTCAATAGAAACTTAATCTGATTTGGAATTTATAACTTTCTCTCATTTTTTTCCACTCCTTCCTTTCAACACTTTACTCCAGACACCACAATATTCCTCATCAAGAATCACCTCCTAAATTTGCAACAGGCTCAGGCTTCTCCAAACTCTTGCAGTGTTCAATCCAAGATCAAAATACTTGGAAGCCTAGAATTCTTTATGGCAGCCAGAACTTAGTTCTGGCCACACTTCACTTTGCTTTTGGTTTTGTCCCTTTTATTTGTAAAAATAAAATAAAAATAAATATATGAATAAAATTAAAATAAAAATATTTATGAAACTCCCTGCATTATTAGCACGTTGGCAATTATTTGACTTCATTTGGGCTGGCTGCTTTTGCTACTCCTCTCCAGTGAAAAGAGGGAAGTTTTACCTTATAATAGTTGATTTCTGTGGGTCGTAGAGTGACATAAAGAGTTCTGCATCCTCTCCAATGCGGCAAACGAAATTCCTCACAAACACGTACAGGCTGTGGGTTGGGGATGAAGACATTCGGGAATATGAAGCATAATCTGGCTGATCCTTGGACTGCTCAGAAGGAGGAAAAATCATTAGCTGGATCCACCAATTCAAATTGTGGGATACTACAAGCAGTTTTCACTTTTTACAATATGTAAAAGTTATCGTGAAAAATCCCAGGAAGTTTGGATTACACAGAGGGAGATGAAAAGCTCAGACTTGGTTCTTGAAAACACTGAACCCAGAGCAGGTGGCCACCTCATGTGCAAATAATGACAAAGTTAATGACAGAGATGCCTTAAATCACTTCGGGGACTTACTCAGTAGGAGCAAGATCTTCCTTGCTATGAGATCCTAAACATATTTCCCAGCAGGGGTCTCCTTTTAGAAATGGAACAGGGTTTATTTTATTAATTTTTCCAGGGAACACAAGAGCTAAACTGTTCTTCTTCCCTTCTTCCTTCCCCTCCAGGAACCTTCCTATTTTGAGAATCTCAGATTTACTTTCATTCAGGAGAAAAGAGCCAGGCTAAGTTTCTCTCCTGTAAATGAATATATTCAAAACCTTCCCTCCCCCAGGCTGCTTTCAGTGGAACTACTCTGAAGTCTATTTCTCACATTTTGGTAAAATACTGTGCCGAAAAGACTTAACAGTGTTTTTGCTGTGCAGCAGTAACTTAAAACCCTTTAGGAGAGAGCAGGGAGTTGGACTTGATGGTCCTTAAGGATTTCCTTCCACCTGGAGATATTGTATGACTTCCCTGTCAGTTCAGTTCTTCAGCCACCAGGCAGTTACATAAATGGGGAACCAATCCCACCACTTTTAAAGATGCCAGTACAGAGGCAAGCCTATAAGAATTATTTCTGATAGAGCAGAAGATCTGCAATCCACATCGTGATGGGCTTTCAGCGTGCTGGAAGCACGAGCAAAATGACATAAGTCTCTTTGAAGAGGAGACAAATAACATGCTGAGATCAAGACACAGCTGAGTGGGTTCACTGACTCAAAAACAGGCTCCTGAATTCCACCTACACCCCTATTTCAGCCACCAAGAAGCAACTACTCAACACTCGATGGCCTTTGTTTGGCTGTATTTTTAAAGCAAGTCACCACTTTTTGTTCAAGTCACTGTTGCAGACTCCCAGGTTTAATTTTTTGTCAGTTAATTGTCGGTTTTGAAGTGTGGGGAGCAGCATTTATTTAGTAACACTGTTGAGAACAACTCAAAAGGGTTTTTTTTTTCCAGTGGTTTGTCATGGGCGTTATTGAAGTGTGGTGACAACCCAACTATTTTCTGTCAAGTGTTTTACTTGTTTTTTTACACTTTACTTTCTCATAAATGGAGAAAAGAAGCAAAGAGGCTTAAAAATCCCTGAGGAGATTTAATATAGAAAAAGGTCAAGGAAGTGAAGTCACCTGCTTTGCATTTTAAAAGATTAAATTTATGCACTCATCAGCTTTGCTTTGGCACACGAACTTCTGGTGTCCACAAGATTATGCTGAGATCACCTTAGTTCCTCTTCAGTGAGCTTAAATTCAGCTTCATCAGACTAACTAGCAGGCAGAAACATTAGCAAACAACTAGTGCTGTCACAAGGTCTTGTAAAACTGAGCTGTGGTTACTCACAGTGTGCAGCTGAACTCCAAGTGTGTAACTATTCACGATGCTATTCAGTCTATTGAGCAGCCCACAAGAAATCCATACAGGAATCCAAGAATGGATTTAGAACCAGCTTTGGACAGAGGCTTTGAGCCCAGCCTACAGCCCAAATCCAAAATACAATCCCAAACTGAGTTAGGTGCACAAATGCAACTACCTCAGTTTGAGGCTTAGCCGTGTTCATAGCACATGAATGTGAATCTACTCTGAAGTCAGAGGCAAAAGTTTCCACCTTTTATGGCAGAAGGTTGCATCCCTCAGCCCTTAGACTAGTTTTCTGTTTGGATTTTAGGAAAAGAAACTTTAAATTTCCCAGTCATTCCTACCATCTCCTCCTTGATTCGCTCAGTGATTTTATTGGTGGCTTCTTCATGTGCATGAAAGAGGCTGATGACACTGGTTTTGTCTGGATCCAAGATATTTCCATCTTCATCTCTGACTATTAGGTCGAGCTCAAGGATTCTGTGAAAATACAAAAGGCTTAAGGGTTGGGTTTTATATAAAGAAAGCTTAGAAATGTAACACCCAAGGAGACGCTTCAAGTTTTAAAGTAATGAAGTCTAAATAAATGCAACTGTATCTCATTGAAGAAAAATTTAACTAAACCAGAGGACTTTCTTTTCAAGCTGCTGTGCAGTATTTAGCATTTAATAGCCTGTCACTTCAAGTAGATTCACCCTGTTCATCCAAATCACAGTGAACAAGTTCAGAGTTTCATAACATCTTGTGGTCATTGTTTATGTGTAGCCACAGATTACTGAAGACTTTGAGCTGCACAGAGGCCTTCGAGCCACAACCACCACCGTCACTTAAAATAGCTAAGTAGAGTTTATAAGCAGAGCCCATCGCCTGTAAAACCAATACTACAAAGATTTGTTTACCAAGCTCTCATTCTTCCTTTATCAGACGGTGGAACACCATCAACAGCACTTTTTTTTGCCAAAAAATATGTTGTGTTGCAGTGACCTTTCATTAGCAAGGAGATGAGATATTGTGTCAAATAACTCTTCTGTCTGGGGTAGTTTCACTTCTATCATCAGAACTAGAATTCTGCCTGGAAATCCCCCAGTGGATTGGGTGTGGGTGGGGATGTGTGTGTTTGCAGACTTACCATGGTCTGTCAGCACCACTTTTGAGGGTCACATAACACTGTAGACATGAACTGTGTTTGTAAAGAGTGGACAAGTTTTGAGTCCTGAACACACTGGTGTTGTGTGTAAATAAAGGCCAGTTATCAGACATCAAATCTTTGGAATTAACAAGCTTGTATATTTGTAATTAACAAATAAATTAATACTTTGAAAAGGCACTTTACTGTGAGAAACCTCAACACAGTATTCATTATTATCCCAGCAGTAACAGGGAGAAGTTTGAAAAGGAACATTCAATATGAATCACATTTTTGAGTTCCAAAACTGCAAACATGAAAACTTTATTATCACCTCTTTGAGGATAGCTTGAAAATAAATCAGGTTTTCCAGAAGCAGTGAAGGCCACTTACCTGTTACCATAGTCAATTTTGGAAGTGACTTTCTGTTTGAGTTCTTTGAGCTCATCTTTCGGCAAAGTCCCGGACAGGAGCTGTGACCGCCACTCCATCAAGTCAAACATCATGGACTGCACCTGCTGGAACCTGTCCTTCTTGTTTGTCTGAGAAAGAAAAGGAAAAAAAAAAAAAAGAAGTTTCAGGCTTCAAGTTGAAGTGAAACATCGGTCTTGACAATTAAATATGTGCCATATTTAATGCTAAACGATTGCAGGAAGCAGGCAAAGTAAATGAGCCTGGCTTCCTTCCTCTTCTCATCCCACAAACTGCTCAGGACAGAATCTCCCATGTGACCAGAAAGAAATAACATTAAATTGAAGTGGGATAGGGAATGATATGGGTTTTGTTTTATTTAATAGTGTTGTTTTAAGATTCTTTAAAAGTCTCATCAAGAGAAAACGTTACAGCAGCAATTTACTTCTGTATGAGAGACTGATAAGATCGTTTTGGGAACAACAACATTTGATTGTGGTATTAACACATTCAAGAGAAAAATGAGAGAATGCACAGAAGTCACTAAAGCAGTTTCAGTATCATTCACTGAAACAAGAAGTTTCCATTGTTGACTTTAACAAGAGAAAGAATAACAAGTGACATGTTTCACAAAACTACACCATATTCAAGATTTCCTTGATCCAACAGAAAAAAAGAGAGAAGGAAAATCCAATGGCTGGGATCCTGGAACAGTCAGCACAACTCCTGAAATTGCCAACTATTAATAGGTCCCAGTAACCCTTGAACAATCTTTGCTCTAGCATTCCAAGAACGTCACAAATCTTTTTCACACACATCTTGGTTATGCTTTATACTCATATAAATGGAAACTTTTCACCCCTACAAATCAAAATTATGAAAAATCTATCACTTACAGGATACTCAAGGTTGAAACGACTGCCATGACATTACACCACCCCTCAGCAAAGTGTCAGCCTTTCCATTTACAGAATCACAGGATCTTCAGGGTTGGAAGGGACCTCCAAGACCACCAAGTCCAACTCTGAACCCAGCACCACCGGTGCCAGGGGATGGCTGGACTACATTTAAAGCCACTGGACATTTTGAGGCAGTGAGGAAGCAATTCCTTAAACCCACCCAGACCCTGCCCTGCACCGAGGAAAACACACAAATTTGGGCAATGTGCATAAATAGGATGGGCTATCAGACCAAAAGCAGTGTGTTCAGTGTCCTACCACATAGAGCTGTTTCCAGATGCTTCCCCATTCCCAGAGAGTAGTGGTAACTTCTTGAACTAGAGGAATTTCAGAAGGTATTATGTTTTCTGTATGCCTAGGAAAGAGAACATAACACAGAGTCTGGGTTTGATGGGTGTGTGTTATAGTTACTGTGGTTGGGGTATATAAATGCCTTAAAATTAATTCTTTAGCAGGCAAGATCCTCAGTGTGACACAACAGATAAATTCCATACCTTTTCTTTTCAGCAGTAACTTCCTTGATGTGGATGAAGGATTTAGGAAATATTCCCTGTTGAAGGAGAAAAAAAAGAATATAAGTCCAAGAACGTTTAAGTAACAGCCATGACTATGAACAAAAATTTTAATCACATAAATGGTAACATCCCAATTAACTCTTGGCTATCTAGTTTTTTATTCAAATGAATGCATTCCTCAAATAATAGTTTTGCCATATCCTTCTCTGCAAACATAAAGTGCAGAGGATTACCTTTCTTTATAAGAAACACCACCTTCCACAGTCTTCCCCCAGGAAACAGTACAATTAAATACAAGTCAATACCATACAAGTTAAATTCAGTAAAGAAACATTTTGTCTGTGCATCAGCCCACACGTTTCACTTTCCTGGACAAAAACAGAGTCTTGTTTAGCAATCAGTTTGACTATGAAAGCAAAGGAGTGACACTGATACAGGATCATTGCATCTGGTAGATGCTTGTGATACTTCAAGTCCCATAATAATTCAATAACATATGTGCTACTTCACAAAGCCTTTCTCCAAATTAGATTTCAACTTTTATAGCCTTTTTATTTTAAGCACCGGATCTTAATCAAAACAATCATATCTTATCAATTCCACATTTTTTCATTAAGACTGAAGTTCAAAAGATTCCATGAAGAAGCCAAGCAATAGAAGAAGGTCACACTAATACTAAATTTAGTGATAACTTAGTACATTAAATTAATAATTCTTCTTAAAGAATTGATCTTGAAGCCCCTTAGCAATATTAGGAATTAGTTAAAAGTAATTTCTAATACCTGCAGGCCACTGAATGCAAAACAGAAAAAAAAATGGAGAGTTAGAGAACTTCACACTATTCTGGGGCTTTTTTTCTGTTGGCATATTCTCTGTCCCTCTGCTCCCCTTTTAAAGAGGCTGTGAAGGTTTTGTACATCCTTTTTCCAGGGTGCAGAGAAGGAAATTCCAGCAAATAGTTTTGCTTCAATACAGGTACCAGTGTCTAACTCCAAATGCCTTCTCATTGCTGCTCCCTAAAAAAACCTTATGCTAAGAACGAGTTATGAAAAAAATGCTTTTCTTCTACAAAAATGTATTTAAAACTAAGAAGTGATTTTCTTGGTAGTTAACTTAGCAGTCACTACACCCAGGGTAAACACTATTCATCTGTGGCTTTCCATCTTTAGGTATGAGAATACTGACTTTTTTTTAATTAATAGGATTTTTGTACAGTAGAGATATTTAGAAATTTAGGCCTCATGCAATTTGTTTATATTGTATGCAGCCTAAAAAAACCCATAGGAAAAGTACAGAAACAAACACATCCAGCAGCAAATTTACTCAACATTTAATTCAAATGGTGTCTGTTAACCTGTAATTTCTTCTTCACAGATCTGCTTTTTTCCCCTTCCTCACTTCTATTTACCAACTGTCCAGGATGAATGTTGATCATTTTATTCATCTTGAAAGGAGAGAGAGTGGACAGAGCTGGCCTGAGAGATCAGGACAGAACCATCTGCTAAGAGACACCAAAAAACCCACCTCATGGGTTGATCTGTTAAAAATAGTCCCTTAGGAATGAACAGAGTGATCTTACCTCTGCTCCTTTGTATCTCACCAGGTAACCCTTGTACCAATCTAAAAGCAAGAAAGATCACTTGGTATGGCAAACCAAAAAAAAAAGAAAAGGCATTAAAACACATACAGTGATGTCATGAGTTTTATTTCATGTCAGAAATATCCGGCATAATGTTTGTAAAAAATTAATGGTTACTTCAGGCTTACAGAGATTAAAGTGAACACCAGGAAGCACATTAAGCATGACTTGAATTTTAGCAAATGTGATTATATGGTCGACTTTCAAGTCTTGCATAGTAAGTACAGATAATCTTACAGGGAACTGAACACCCCCACACTCCCATGACAAAGGTGGGGTAAATTGTTTTGCAATTTAATATATCACAGACACTTAGATATCCATCTCAGCTGAGGTGGCCCCTGGGACTGGATAGCCATGAAGCTCCTCTGCTTGTGTTCTAGGAGTAGGATTAACTCAATACAGCATCTGGTTGTTACATATCCATTTTCCTGGTATGTAATAAGATTTAAGCTTTTGGGCTCAGCTTGAATTAGCAGCTTCCTGGTGTGAAGTTCAAGTTAGAAGCTCAAGACAATGCAGGACAATTACTTGGCTTGTGCTCCATTCGTAACCAGAAACCCCTTCTGGAAGGCAGGAGTGCTGTGCTGCAGCAGTGGCAACTCAAACACCAAATCAGATTTTATTCCATCTATTCCATAGTTAAGTCACAATAAACTTCTACCAAAAAAACATAAATTGCAGAGTTCAACCCTACTGAATTACAGCAGAGGCCACGACCACAGTGCACTCACCCACCATGTAAAATCACCTCCCCAGCAACATCATTTAACTCTGTTAAATACTACATGCTTTCATCCCCAACAAAGCATTTTATGACTAAAAGCATACATTTTCTAATGATAATTTCATGAACAGATATGATCTCTTCACTACCACCTTTTGTCTCTCACCCTTTCTCAGACAGCACAGGTATTTCAGCCATGCAACCAAATCATAAAAAAAATAAATCCCAAACAGTGCTGTCAGAAAGGTGATGTTAAAAGTCACAGGAGGATGACTGACATCAAAAAAAGACTCAGGGCAGATTTTTTTCAGGTTTTTCTGCACTGGTATTTTTTCCCCCCTGGTGTCTTGGCGAATGAAATTCCATCTTACTTCTAAAACTGAATTATTTGCACGTTGCCTCAATTTACAATCAGGTGTGTAAAATCTATTTCCTCCCATTTGCTGTGACAGCCCACATATGTTGTGTGCCTACATTTTTTGCATGCAAAAACAGCTAAAATAGGACATCAAACGAGCACAGGAAAAAACCTGCCACTGTTGGTTACTCCCCAGCTGCAGCTGGCAGCGTATTTTTTAAGATATCTGATAACAGATGAACTTCACTCACACAGTGTGAAAGATTCCACTTCTACGCTGGCAAACACATTTCATAAAGCAAGGTCTGACTTAGTGTATCATGGGCAAAGGATTCAGAAAAGACTTCATATAAAAAATAACCCCACAAGATCAGCACTCAACTCTCTGGGCTGACAACAAACGTAGCCAAGGAATCAGAAACCTGAAATTCTTTTTCTGCAACTAATACTGAATACAGGGCTGAGGAGGTTTCTGGTTTGCCCGTGTATCTATTCCACAGCCAAAATGCTTAGAATGGAGGCTTAAAGAATTATGCAGATCTTGCATGCTTTAGGAGAGGCTGTGGATCATCACTCATGACTTTGAGAGACCCATCTCTTTCCACCGAAGCTTGGAGATACTGAATTTCTCTCGCAAGTAGAAGAAAAACCACGTGCTCCAGTGTGTTGGAAATGTGGTTTCTCAGATGCTCCTCTCTCAAATGCTCTGTTGTTTCCATGTAAAGCAGCCAAGAGCCCTCTGCAGTGGAGTGGGCTGGGCTCAAACAGCTCCAGAGCTTTGCAGCCCTGTGACCACAACGTGACCACAACGTCCCAAGGGTCTTCCAGCACCAAGCTGCCTCTGTCACTGTGTGATGCAGCAGCTGGCCCTTCTCTTGAACATCACTACAGTTGCTGAGATATAAAAGACCCATTAGATCAGCAGAAATAGGTTGAAGAAGATAATCTTGAAGTTTTGCAAAGCTTTAAGTACTTTATAAATTTTTTTTATTGTTTTTTAACGTGGTCAAGAACATGTCATTACTATGTCATTACAATTACAATGACACTCGGAGTTACTTAGCTGCTGTGAGTTAGGTAAGCTGACAAAAACTTCAATAGCTCTGGCAGATTTAGAGATAATTCAGTCAGATTGTGAAGGTATTGACTGTCATGAATGACTTGACTTGGAGTTTTGCTGCTTTGCATGTTGTGTAAGTTGGATGGTTCTCAGAAATGTTTCTATCATGCAGACCCTCATTTCTTTAACATTCTGAATTTCCTTCTGAGATAACAAGGGTGCTGAATGTCTCCTAGCAACAAATATTTAGTTTAGAGGCAAAAAATATACTCCATTAAACCCTGATGTCCCTTCCATCAGGTGTATTACCAGATGGCACAAACTTCACAAACTCTACGTTCACCTTGATGACTTCCTCATTTGGTAATGGCTTCCCAAAAAACCACATGCACTGTAATATGTCTAATTTTGGCTCTTCAGAAAAGAATAGGTTCTTCCTCAAAATAGATCACTACCAGCACTAAAAATAAGAGTATTAGACAACTACTGATGTAATAGAGGGAATTGCTGTGAAGTGAAAGGATGATGTAATTCACAAAGAAACACACAGTTGAAGGCAAGGGACTTACCTTCACAGGACTCCAAGATATGGACCACATCACCAATCTGAAGAGGTAGTTGAGGTATTCCTGTGCCTTTGAAATTGTATATAGCTGAAAAATTAAAGGAGGAAAATACTAAGTTTCAATGCAGCCATACACTACAATGAAACCAAAAACCAAACGTGGTTACTAAGACTCTGGTACTGGGATAAGTACAATGTGATAGACAAACAGAATCATAATTCTACCAAGAAGTTCCATCGTCACCGTTAACTTATCTCTTTGCTTGTGAGGATGAAAAGGTGGTGAAAATGGCCAGTGCTGAAAACAAATCAAAAAAGTAATCAACAAACCCCACAGAAAACTCAGCAGGCATGTGGGAACAAGCTCTTCATCACCTGCTCTGCACAGGATTTAAGATGCAGGTCTTGAATAAATACACATTCACAGTGCTGGAGAATTGTTTGTCCACTTGTCCAAGGGATTTAAGCACGCAGTTCACAGAAATTTATGGCTACACTGATGAGAAAGGGCACAGAGGTTCCTACAGCAACTGATTTTCCTGAATCCTTTCCTGGGTTTAGATACTTCGATTTAACATGAAACTGTTAAAGAGTATGAAGTGTCACAGTTCTCTGCATTCTCTGTATGACTCTGAAAAGAACACAGGAGCTGGGGATTTTAAAAGTGTCCTAATCAGAAGGTTATCTGTATGTGGTTAAGAAACAGCAGTTTCAGAGAGAATTCAAGAAAATAAGCCTCTTTGCCAGTTCTTATGTTTCAGGGCTACAGGATGTGGGCTGCTATGGTAACCGTTTGCCTCTGTCCTTTTTTTCTCTTCCTGACCTTGGTTATAGACTTGAGCAATAGCATCAGAGAGTAGAAGTGGTTATTGGAGTCAAATCACACCAGGAAACTCTCAAAATACGTAACTGAAACTCAGTGCAGGTAAGAACAGCACTGGCACTAACCAGGACCTGCCTGGTGCAGGGAAGGTGTCAGTCAGCAGAGCTCCCTGCCCTGCTCAGGGCAGTGTCCCAATCCATCCACACACACACAGCAACCAAACTGGAAGCATTTTGGACTAGGGAAAAACTGCTCTATAAAGCAGAGCCCACCTTCAGGATATTCTCCCATTCCTTTTGCTCCCCCTCCCCCAGCCAGGCTTCTAGAGCAGGATATTAAACCTCTGCTGGGCCAAAATGTACACTAATGACACATTTATTTAAATGTTTTACTTCGAATTATATTTAAAGGCTCCAATTAAATTGCCTTTCAGGACAATGCCTGAGGTAGGAGGGTAGAGCTAAATAGATTGATCCTCTCCACTTTACATATATTCCATAAATTATGTTCCCTGGTTGTTTTTTTTTTTATATTTGCTATATTCCTGGAACAGAAATTAGAAGGAATTTCAGATGTGAGAGGCTTTCTGGACCAAAAATAAGTTCTTTTTTTTTTACTTGAAGAGACATTCCCAGCTGTTCCTCCTCCTGAGTGGATAGAGCAGGGTTTGAACAATTCAACATAAGGGGAGGGAAAACTAAAGAATAACTTTGAATTGAGGCTCTGCTGTCCAGATTCAGCCATTTATTCAAGAGAACCTTGAAGACACTCCCCCAGTGATCCTCAGAGGACTGCCTTAGCTCCACACAAAATTGAAATTCAGGAGTAGGTGTGTGTATAGCACATGTGTAGTTACACTCTGAGTGGTTTCTTTTCAAGAAGTGAAAGATGGCCAAACCCTGCTGATTTACCGTGACATTTAAAGATACATTTCCACCGGGGTGTTTGGGAGATGTGGGGGATTACTGTTGACTACCACATGCTTCAGATTTCAAAACATGCACTGCCCTACTCACTTGTAGCTGTCTCAAAACACAGATTCAAATTATTGGTCATACATTTACGTTGTATTTTGGTTTTACTCCCTTTAAAGCTTCATTTACCAGCCACGAATGCATTGAAAAGGGCAGCAACAAACTGACAAAGGAAGTGGCTCTATCAGCTTAGACTTTTCTAAATGACTAAGTGGAAACTTAACCAGAGAGGTTTTACTTGGATTGTTTGGTAGGATGAGTTTAACAAATCCCTCTGCAAAGTTTTAAGCTATAGGCCTATCCAGACATTTTGTGGTAAGAAATCGTGATAAACTTCCATAAAGCATTGCAAGAACTCTGAACAGACAACACCACCAGCTACATCTGTGCATCTTATCTACAGCTTAGGTATCAGATCTGCTAATTTTTAATTATTAGCTGTGAATGAAAATTTGAGTATTATATCCAGTGACGTTTTCTGTCAGCAGTAAGTGATGTCATTTCCCTTACAAACTGGGACCCTCCTATATTTGGGAGTATCAGCTGAGAGTTCACCAGCCATGAGAAGGGTTCCCTTTCCTCCACCCTCTGTGGAGACACATTGTGTGGAGATCCTCAGGGCTGGTGTACAAACACATATTTAACTCATTTTGCTTCTCAAAAATATGAACACCCAGTAGGGAATTAAGATTTTTTTTTTTTTTTGTGGGATACCCACCACAGGTTGTTGGCTTTTTAAAAGTAAACTCTCCAGTTAGTAAAAATAAAAGCCCTTTCAAATCTGAGTGAGGAGCTTTCCTAGCTCTCCCCTCCCTGGCATCCTCTATCCCAGCCATAAATCCAACCTGAGTCAGGATCCTCAAGGCACAGAAGGTCGTTCAAAGACCCCAACAATGACTCTAAATCCCACCAGTGATTACTGACCTCAGGAACAGCTGATGTCATGGCAATAAGATTAGTGGGAGAGCTTTGGCTGGCAGATGCCCTCCCCAGCAGGCAGCACCAGGCTAAGGTGCTCCCATCAGCAGTCAATCTGCACACACTGTCAGACTGTCCCAGACAGGCACAGACAATGCCCTGCAATCCAGTGCTCCTAAACAGGGACTTCACACTTCCCTGAGAACACAGCAAATTTCCCCTGGATCAGCAAATGAAAACTGTCTTTCTAGAGCTCACCACAGTCTCGGTGGTAATTTTATAGCACACACATGACAGAAAACAAACAAACAGCCCAGTGAGAAACTCCCTTAGATTCCAGGTCTGAGCTCCCTCGGGAAAGGAGCTGAAGAGCAGAAGTACCAGGACAAACTGCTGACATGGACAGCTTTCCAAAACTGAACCCTACTCACACACAAATAGGCTTAGAACTGTACCTCAGGAAGATGGAAACATTTCCCATCGTGTCCATGGAGAATGCCCAAAATTCCTTTCTTGTCCAGCCAAACAAACAGGACAGTGACTGAGCATCACCCTCACCCCCAGAGCCTGAGTGAACACATCTCCCAGTGCCCACCCCAGGGGCAAAAAATGCAGATTGTGAAAGAAATTCCTGTCTTCATTTAATTCCTATTTCTCTCTTAAAGGCAGACCTGCTGGATAAGATATACACATTCCCCCACCTGTGTACAGGTGTGCATGCCCTTCAGTGCACGGGTGGCTGTGGAGATGTCTTGTTGCACCACACGGGGATTGTGCATCTTTTCCAGAGCAGAGCAATGAAAATCCCTAAAGAACATTTCACCCAACATTCCAAGATACAAAGCAAATCAAAACAGTCACATCGTTAAGATTCCTATCAAAAAATAAATTCAGCAGGCACTAAAAAAATAGTTAACATTTTGTAATTGAAATTCTATGTCCTCCTCAATTGAGAAAAAGACAGGCAGAACAAACAAACAAACAAAAAATCATCATCCTTTGTGCCTTGTTTGGGAACATTCAAACACTAAACACTCTAGAAAAGTCCCAGTGATCCAAATGACAGAATTCCTTCCACAAAAAGATAGATTTCTTCAATGTTTACTTACTTTTAAGAGCCCATATTCCAGCTATTTATATGATTAGCCTGTAAGCTACTGCAAGATGGGAATGGTAAGCAGGGAAAATCCCACAGACACGCAACACTGAAACCCTTTGTTATCCTCATAATCTTACCTGTCTTTCCTGCCTCCTTTCCTTTCGTGTGCAGTCCCTGCTCTGCTCTTCATAAGAAATACAAGCACTACCTTGTTTCATTTTGAGACTCACCTTTTAGGAAAAAGCCATGTTTCACGTTGGTTTCCTTGGCTACCTTCCACTTCAACAGAATTCAAAAAAAATTGTGAAGATATTGCTGAACCAGCTCCTAATTTCATTTTTCCATAACAGAAGAACTGTCAGGTATGATTTGGACGTAATAACTAATGAAGTGTTTTGCATATTCAAACCATTTCTAATTAATAGTCTCAGCAAGGATCCTGTTCTATTTTTTAAATATTACAGCTCCACTTTTATGAGTAATAAACTATATCAACTTTTTATGTTCAGTTACCATTTTCTTCTCATGAAACCAAGGTGAAATCACTCAGCAAGGCCACTGACAATCCTTATGTGAAAATATTATGCAGTCCCAACAGGATTTCTTAACTTCTGGAAAGATACCTACAAAATTTATGTTCCAGTGCTCTGAATTAAGGATCCCCCTCCTTTTAGAACTCACAGAGCAAGTGTGAGCATGGACACAGTTCTGAGGGATATTTCACAGGTACCAAACCCCAGGGTGGGTTAGAGGCTGATTTCATTTGCTGAAAATCGTGCTGCAAGGGGAACTCTTGAGTTCTCAGGTAACAAGTTGTTATCCCAGACAACAATTGAACACAGATTTCCTCACATGCTTAACCTGGGGGACAGATGGAGGTTTGAGCTGACTTGAGCTACTTATTTTCTTTCTTAAACACAATAAAGCCAGCATAGATTACAAGAACCAGGAAGTTCTAAGGTGCCTAGCTAGTTGTAGAAAGATATTGTCTATAAATTTTTACCCTTTCATATTAAATACTAGCACAGTCATTTTTTCTTAAAAGTCTTCACAAAGAACAGGGTATTTAACTGTAATTTTTCCTTCTCATGAAAGATCATGGATAAAAAGATTCCTTTCCCAACTTTGTCTTCATCTGATTTCAGTTTTTGTTGTTTCCCAAGCAGCTGAACAGCACGGTGGGTTCAGGGGTTGCACTTCATGGAGTCAACCTGCCCTGAACAAAGCTCTGCTCTCTTACAGCTCAGTCTATTTAGATTTTAGAGACATAAAATAATTTTCAGAGGTGTCCAGCAAATGAAATCAGACAAGACAGCCACAGCACTTCACTCTCAGGCTGAGCTTGAGCTTTTCTACACTCGCAAAGAAGTCACCCACTACTCCCACCAATTTTTGCTTTGAAGTGACAAACACCCATTTTCAGCTTCAGCAGGACAGGAGTAAATCCGACACTTGAATTTAGCATTCCAACATAATATTTCACCAGCTTGTAACTTCCCTTAAGGTCTGACCAGAGAGCAAGCACTTTCCATCAAGAATCTGCTGCCCAAACCCACTTTTACCATGACTACTCCATCTTGTCTTGTCCACAGAATTATTTAATTATTAATTTAATTAATTAATTATGATTTAATTAATTATTTAAGCGCATATCTAAGCTGGGAATACCTCAAGACTAAGAACAAGTCAAATGTGTAAAATCAGGAGCGCAAATTGATTTTAATTTATTATATAGGACAGAACAACCAGTGGCGGCAGGAGATGCTTGTTTGGGTTTGTTAGTTTGATTATTTTAATTATTCTGGGTGAAAGATTCTCCCACTTTTCTCACCAACTTATATAATGAAGGAATGCATTTAATTTCCAAGATAAAGGAAAATAAAACAAACTGTGAGCCAACAGCTTGGCTAAGAAAAGGAACTCCTGGATATAAGCTGTTGGTTATTGAATTTTTACACATCTATGAACTTCAATTGTACAGAAGCAGAGACAGAATGTTCCTACCGAAGACAACCTACCAGAAAGTTACACGTATAAATACTTAAATAACTAGTGTTCTAATATTGCTGGAAAGTCCATTTGATTATTTTCCCCATTTTCCCCATTCTGCTTTGTGACAGACTAAATCATGGACACTGCTGCAACTGGGATTTTTAACATACAAGAATAAAGAGTGTCATAATCCAATGTTCAACTGACAACCCTTCATTAACTCAGCAAATGGACCCAGGGTGAACAGAGAAGGAGCAAGTTACCACTGTAACCACACAGCAGGACAGGCTGTTCAGATTCTCTTTTCCATTAAAATCACTGGGTGCTCACAAGTGAGAGCAGCATGAGAGTAAGAATGGGGCAAAAGAAATACCACCAGGATCCAGTGTCAATTCTTCCCAGTGACCTCCTCTAGAGTCTAAATTATATTCTGCTTTGGACATGAAAAGAAACATTGCTGGGGTGGCATTAATTTACAAAGTAATATATTTCACAAGGTGGCTTTTATTATGTGTGGTTTGGGGCACTTTCCGAACACCAGAGAGACCACTACAAGGGTAAAAATTAAATGTTTTCTGCTATTTATAAAATTGAAACAGAAAATATTTACACACCCTTTATTTTGTAATATAAACTGCCACCACAACAGGCTGCTTCCATTTCACAATTCTGCTACGGCTGCACATGGAAGCTGAAAACGAAAACATTCTTTTCCTCTTATTATTACCTCGGTGATTGACTTTATTTCATGAAGCCCTTTGGGTGGATTTCTTGTTTTTAATGCACATCACAAAACACTGTGGTCTACTTCAAATAAAAAATGTCTTTTAGAAGAATTTAGAGGGTTAATAACTGAGTGCTAATATGCATCTTTCAAGTGCTTTAGCTTTGATTTCTAATTTTAAGGCTTTCTTAAAACAGCAATTCAGTCCTTTATACAAGTTAACATCATTCAGATTAAGAAGACGACTTTCCTTCCAAAAAATACCACTTCCCAGCTGAAATACAGACTTTTTTCTGTAACACTAACCACAAGTGACAACCTTGCAGAAGCAACTGCAGGATTCCCCTTCCCCTATATTTGTTCTCCAAAATTTCTGGCTGCTGGGCATTAAACAACACATGACTTACTCAGCCTGGTTCTAAAATACCGAGGTGGGAAGAGCTGGATTACTCAAGAGTCAGAAAGCTGACACTCGTGCACTTTTTGTCATTCTGGTCGCAGGATTAAAGCTTTGTACAAAATGGATCATTTCAGTGAAGCCACCAAAGCAAGGTGGAAAGTGTTAATTGATCACAGCAGAGAAAACACCTGCCCACATCCTGCTCAGGAGTTAGAGACACAACTCACACGGCAGCTCAGAGTCACGTACCTACACCAGTCTTCTCCGTCCTGTGCCATCTTGCCATCACACATGAACCCCTGAGGCTCCAGAGGACGCCCCCCAGCAAGGAATCCCAGGTTTGTGGGCTGCAGCCTCGAGGATGGGTGAGCACCAGGCCTGGAAGGAGCCTCGTTCCCCAGCGCTGTCACTGAGGAGCAGGCGGAGGCGGCTGCGAGATTTGCTTTGCCGTTCTGAGCTTCCTTCCTCTTTTCTCAACTCAAGACATTGTACCCCGTGTCATGGGGGAGGGGAATCTCAAACTGGGTGTTGCTGTTGCTCGACACCGGCGGTAACACATCAGCAGGGCAAAGCCCAGGGCAGCGCTCTGCCCTGACCTCGAGGTGTGTGCGCACCCTGAGACAACCCCCGACCACGGCCCCCTGCAGCTCCAGCACCTCCCCAACACCACCCATAGAAGATGCGACTTCCCAGGTCAAACATCTCAAAACCTTCTCTCTTCTAACCTGTCCAGGAACTAGGATTTGTGGGGTATTTTTTTTGCAAGTCTACCTCTCCTGAGACAAAGCCGCATTTCGAACCGCACCCATCGATTCTTATTTCTGTCGCTTTATGTTTGGAGGAAAAAAAAAATTGAAGACTTTAGTCACTGAACAAAGCAGCACTTGCTTAAAGACTGATTGTGCAGACAAAACTGCAAAAAGCAATTTATGGTGCACTTACAGCTGCTGTGTGAGCTACCTTGCATAAGGACGTTTTGGATGTGCAGAAATCAACCCAAGTTGTTTCTAATGTGGATTAAGGACAATATACTGAATTGAAGGCAAGTATGTCACCTTCACTCCTCTTCTTGACTTACAGTTTGGACTTTAAAAAAAAAAAAACACAAACCTGAAATAAAATGATTGCAAAGATTTACTGTTTGTTTGTTTGATCTCCTGCTTAGTACAACAAATTCACATGACAATCCTGTCCTCTGGATATTGCATTGCAACCTAGCAATCACTGTTTATCCAAACTGTTTAACACTGCCATGCTACATCCCTCGGGATATTTTTGATAACACATGACATTCTATTTCTTGGTTTTAACTAGCAATGATGTGAGCACAAACTGACAGTATATCTCATTGCACGTGGAATTCTGATACATATTTCTGGAGGAAAATCAGTTTAAACTTTACCAGATTTGCTTGAATTGCCCTAATATTTACCATGTCTACATACTAGCTTAGCAAAAGGGTTTAGCTTATTACCCTCCCCTGAAATAACATTGAAATTCATGTTAACTAAAGTGGGTTAAATTCTGAGCAACACCCATTATCTCCATTTACAGAAAACAAGCTCCATCTACGGGTTCTAAATCTTTCCCATCCATGGAACATTCATTTTATATTGTTCTTCTGTCAAAAAAATACCTTGAGGTTCAACTATATAACCTTTTAGTTTACCTTATGGGGTTTGAGCAGTAACTTCCTAACCAGTGATACTCATCTTCCTTACTGCTCCCGATCCCTGCTGCAGCAAATCCCCTCTTCCCATTCACTGTTTGGCCTAAAGGTTGACTTGTTTTTATTTTCTTGTTCTACACGTCTCTTCTTTATGGTAAGACAACAATCCTGAGGAAATCCTTTCTAGTTCATTTACAAACTTATTTACAAACAGGCTTCCTCGTATAGGCCTACTAAGCCTAGTTAATACCCGTTGACCTTTTGAAAATAAATGATCTCTAAAACACAGGAATTTCACCTTCAAGCTGGGATCCAGCTGGCAACACTTTGCTGCTGCCCTGCTGTGATTGTGCAGAGCTCAGCACACACCCAGGGCTCTGTGCAGAGCTCACATCCCCCCTGGTACCACCCCAGCTCCCCACAAATGCCCATCTGAGGACCCAAACTCCCTCAGGCATCGCTGCTTCCCACGTGCCATCCCTAACCCACGCCCCGCTGGGCATTGCACACATCTGCTCTTACTTCCTCCCCTGCAACTTTCACGATGATGCTTTTGCAACTCCTCAACCAGAACCTGCTGCTGCTTCATCTCCACCAGCTCGGACAGCCCTGTCTGGCTGCGTCGGAAAATTCCGAGCTGTAACTCCTGAGAAATGGATTGAGGAACAAAACTCTTTTTTAGCTGCAAGAGGAAAGTGCACTCAGAGCAAAGCATGCACAGTAACCCTAAAATCCCGTTCTTGCACCAGAGGACAAATCCCAACATTGATCTAGAGAATTAAGGTGGAGAACTGTTACACCCTCTGCCAATGGAGGCTTTGATTTCAATTTGGTGTATTTATGTAGTTACCATTCCATATTAATATTCAACAGAAAGCAGTGGGCAGATTCATCGCCATCACATACCTTATCATTTTTTCCTAAAGTCTTTTTTTTCAGAAAGAAGGTCTTTTAAGGAAAGCAGAAAATTCCCTGCTTGCCCTAAAGATGAAACTCCCTGCCCAGGGGGAGTTGACAGGTAGAACTTCCCTTCTGGGGGCTGGGGGGACAGGCAGAGGAAGGGAGACAATTCTTGCTTCCTTTAACATTGCTATTGGTTCCACAAAACAAGCTCTTTTAAGATGCTGACTTTTTAATTAGCCAATTTTAGCCATGCTAATTTCCATCACGCAGAAGAACTTGAGCAGAACACAGAAGTTGCATTTAAACAGCCTCTCAGCTCCAGTCCATGCCAAGATCTGTGAGCAGCTGCAAAAAAAAGCAACTGATCTGACAAAACAGAACTGAAAAAAGACAATGCACAAAGGACTCTGAGGCTCAAAACCTTAAGTATATTATGGCCAAACCAAAGCCTGAAAGCCAGACACGTTCCCCCACTTGCAAGAGAGGTGTGAGCACACACAGGTTGCATTGGATGATAATGGTACACACTCCAAGGAAACTCCAGCAGTGTAGGTAAAGCAGTTCCTGAGGGCAAAGAGGTAACTGGGATGTCACTGACTGGGGTTTTGTTTGTAGCATTAATTAACAAATTATTTCAATTTAGAAAAAAAAATTAGTAATGCAATATGCCAAGTAGCTCAAAATACAATTAACTATAACTTAATATACAAATAACACAACATATAATTGTCTAACTAGACAATCTACACCTCAGTACTCCATTTTAAAGTTCACTTACCTAAGGTTTTCCTTTGAGTAGAACAATCACAAAATGCAGTTGTTTTAGGCTATTTGTGTCCCAGTGACAATAAACAAAGGTAACTTTCACCATCTGCATGAAAAAAGGCTTTCTTCTTACATTTTTTAGCAGGAAAAGCAGGATTTCTTCAACACAGCAGCATTTAAGTTCAAATGTACAGTCAAAACCAAGAGTAAGAACTATTTCATGGTTATACATTTGCTTCCAGTATTGTCATGGAATATCTTAAGAGATAACAAGAAGATATTCTCTTACATAGACTTAATAACAGACTGAAGAATTTGGATGCCCAGCAAATTCCTTAGATTAATGGGGATACAATCAGCTTCTGTGACACATGAATTTCTGATTATTTTGTTCAACACCAGCAGGAGCAGTCACCAGGCTGTGCCTAAACCTCCCTGCGTAGAAATGGTCTGATGATGAGTTAGTTCTGCACTGGGAGAGGAAAAGCCTCAACTGGTCATTTAAGTGACTTTCCCAGCTCCTGAGTCACTTTGCCGTGACTCAGTTTACAGTTCAGTGTTGGTTGAGGTGAGTGAGGAGCTAAAGCCACCCACGAGCACAGTCACAGCTCACACAACCCCAGGGCATCACTTCTGGCCTGGCACAACCCAGTAAATTGTTTTTCCATGATGGATTTAAAAGGAGAAGTCCTACAGAACTTTCATCTTAACTATGAACCCTTTACCTAGAAAGTGGTTAATCCGTTCACCAGAGGGAGCTGAAACTGCAGTATGACTCAAAGGAACTATTCAAATTTCCATATAAATGCTCAGAAAAGTCAATGCAATAAGCTTAAAAGCTCTCCCCAGAATTATTCTGCAGGAACTTCAGAGCATTCCTAAAAACATGACAACACACAGCACCTGCATTATACTTTCTTAGCATTTATTGATTTTTTTTTAAACAATTTCTACAAAAGACCTTGCCTTTCATTTAGAAAGTAGATACATGTTTCTTCTCAAATGCAATACAGACTACATTTCATAAAGAAAGAGAAATAAACCTTTATTTTAATTATTATTACAAATACAAGAAGTCAGTTTCAAGTGAATACTGACCCACAAAACACATAAAAAGATTCAATGCACCTTTGTAATCAGGTCAGTATGACAATTGAAAAGGTACACATTAGGAGGAAAAAAATATTAGGAATTCTGAATCCAGGAACAGGAAGAAATTCAGGAGCACACGACTTAGTCGAGTTCTCCATCAACAACCCTGCCCAGCCTGTCTTGCTCAGGACTGACCCTGTCCTGCTATACAATAAAATCAGTGCAGCAAGTGCTGCTCTTCTACAACAGCACATTTACAGACCTCACCAAGATTCCACACAAGGCAGCACTTGAGGTCCCAGTGAAGGGAACTCCACCAGTGCCCTGGGAAGTTACCCAAGCGCAGCTCTCATTTCCACCCTCCTGCTCTTCAGAACACAAGGCAGATCAATACCCAAGTCAGGAACCTGTGCACTGGTGTGTGACAGACAGGTTTACTCAGTATTTCCTGCTGAAGCAGGACTCCCAGCTGTCCAGAGCTGTAAGTTTTATTGCTGAGCACACTGTGTTTCAGGAGTTGCCTTAGAAGGTACATACAAGGTTGTGTATTTTGTCTTTTTTGTTTTCTTCGCCGCCGTGATTTTATTTTCTTTCTTATCTTCCTCTGTAGGTTCAGATGTGGATTCAGCTGTTAACCTACAGGCAAAGCAACCATTCTAAATACACATTTAGTTTATATAAAACACGACCAAAGTAAGAGGTTTAGGCAGAATCAAGAAGCCAAGTGGCACAGAAGACCATCCATAGGCAGAGACAGAGCAAGCAGGGCTTAAGAAGAAAATGAGACCGAAATGAAGCATTTTTATATCAGTCCTAATCACATTTCCTCACTTAAAGCCTCCCCCACACACACCTCATCTGCTGAAATGTTGGGTAAAAAAGGTAACTGAGTGTGTTTTCTGGGTGGGCTCAGCCTTCAAAACCAG